GAGCGCCCCGGCCGTGAGCGCCCCGGCCGTGAGCGCCCCGGCCGTGAGCGCCCCGGCCGTGAGCGCCCCGGCCGTGAGCGCCCCGGCCGTGAGCGCCCCGGCCGTGAGCGCCCCGGCCGTGAGCGCCCCGGCCGTGAGCGCCCCGGCCGTGAGCGCCCCGGCCGTGAGCGCCCCGGCCGTGAGCGCCCCGGCCGTGAGCCCCCCGGCCATGAGCCCCCCGGCCGTGAGCGCCCCGGCCGTGAGCGCCCCGGCCGTGAGCGCCCCGGCTGTGAGCGCCCCGGCCGCGAGCCCCGGCCGCGAGACCTGCCCCCTCTCTCCCCTCCCTGCCCTCTCTCTCTCCTCCCTGCCTCTCTCCCCTGCCCCAGCCTCTCTTTCTCTCCTCCCCTCCCCTCTCTCTCTCCTCCCTTCTCTTTCTCTCCTTCCCTCTTTCTCTTCCGGATTCATCTCATATGAAACAAAAAAAAAACAGAATCACAAACATAATCATCTTAAAATACTCGAGAATCATCACAAGGTTTGAATGTCACCAGGGATTCTTGGCTGTGCCGTTTTAGCTCTGGATCTTTATACCTTCAGCGAGCGACAGGAATCCATAGCTAGAAATCTGTTCTTCGAAGATCTGTTCAGATTCCTACAATAACGAGAATAAATTCGAATCAAAAATCTTTTACAAAAAAAAACAAATAGAATCAATCCATACCTAGAATTCATAAATACAGAGGATAATAATCAGATCCATCATCATATAGAAAGCAAAGAAACATACCTCTTTGACTCATGTTTGTTTTTCTCGTCACCATAATCGCTAGCTCTTTAATACAGATATTTTATTTTATTTTTTGAACACACTCTCTACTACGGATTCTTAATTATTCTTTCTTTGGTTTTCTGTCTGGTAATAAAAAAGTTATGTCTGTAAGAGATTTAATTGTCTTTTATAAAGAGGAGGATGAGCCACCAACGGTTCCATTACAACGGTTATATTTTTGTAGCCGTTGGATGACTAAAGTTCACATTCATAAAACACGTGTTGTTGGATTTGTTTAAAGTCTTTTTGGATCAAATACACTAGATTATTGTCACTTTGGTAACACGTATTTCAAATATATATATATTTAATTTTGATCCACTAGATAGCAGGATATCGTGATTTAATCCCATAAATTTGAAAATTAACTAGATCATATAGTGATTTAATTTAATAAATATCGTTGTCTAATTTACTAGGGAGCTTTATAACAACATACCGTTTAAAAAAAAAAATCATATGTATGTATTAGGCATGAGCATTCGGGGTCCCATTCGGGTTTCGGTTTTGTCCAATCGGGTCTTGGTTCTTCGGGTTTATCAAAATCAGCCCCATTCGGATTATTTGAAAGTTCGGTTCGGGATCGGTTCGGGTTCTATCGGGTTCGGGTCGGGGTTAGTAAATCTTTAAAGAACCGGTACAACCCGTTATACTTTCGGATTCGGATCCCAATCGGTTCTTTGGTTTAAAAATACTTGATTTGTACCTACTATGTAACGAAAACATAAGTAAAATTGGTTCTTCGAATTTTAAAGTACCTAATGTGTAGCTATTTTATAACCAAAACATAAGTAAAATTGATTCTAAAATAAGAAAGGAACATCAAATTTGATCATTCAAAATCAAATGAAAGGTAAACATAGTTATTAATAGAAAGAAAATCAAATAAATGAAAGCATAAAACGAAAACCTAGTTCTTAAAGAATAAGAAACATTATTCAGTAAAAACAAAACCTTAATCTAAAAATTTCAAGTTTCAACCGCCATCTTCAACCATCAACCTTCATGTAATAGATAATTATTTTAGATATTTAGTAATATCTTAAAATATTTTGATATATATTAGGAATTAAGATCATGTTTGGTACATATTCTTATTAAAAATTTTAAATGTTTCGGGTTCTATCGGATATCCATTTAATTTCGGGTTCGGTTCGGATAATACCCATAACCCGAAATACCAAAAAACAAGATCCATTCGGTGTTTAAATCGGGTTCGGATCGGTTTGGATTCATTTTTATCGGATCGGACTCGGTTCGGATTTTCGGGTTCGGTTTATTTGCCCAGCCCTAGTATGTATCTCTTTTATAGATTGTTCTTATTTTTTAATAATACTTTTTATGGACGAGTTTTAGTAACAAAATTAATGGATACAAATATGAATATGTGACTAGCTCTCTCGGTTACTACTTTTCAAATTTTGAAATCTGCAAGGGATTGGTTAAACGTACATATTAATCTTTTTCTAATAAAATTTAAACATTAGTTACGATCATCAGTCTTTCCTATTATTCCAAATGTCCAACATGATTATATCCAATATAAACTACCATAAGATGAAAAAAACAAAATAAAATAAAACAAGCTATATGGGCTACTTCAAATATTATATAGCATGAATTGCAATAGCATGATTAATCTACGTTTAATTAGTATATATATAAAACATGTTCATATAAGCCACTAATATATCCCCCCTCCCCCTAAAAGCAAGTTACCACCAGCTGTAAAATTTGTCACTTTTAATGTATTTACCTATTAAAATCAATGTAAGTTTATATATAGGTTGAACCATGTAAGGGAATAGATGACAAAAAAGGTTGAATAAACTAAGTTTATATGAACAAAATACAAGTAAACTAAAGCGAATATATTTTCTGAGTTAAAATAATATTATGGATCCTGAATTTTTGCCCACATCTATATTCTACTAAAAAAAGAAAATTGCTATTAACTGTAAATAATTATATTTTATTACATAACTTTCAAGCTGACCTGAAATTTCCACATTCCATGAGAGGATAAGGAAATCTACGTCAACTGTCCATATTTCTAGAAACATTCAACCCAAACATCTCTTAGAAACCGTGACTTTAAGACCATACTTCATGTGGAGAATAACAGAAGGAGCTGGCTCAACCTTGTGCCCTTCAACGACTTTAATATCATAGTTCTGTATGATTTTCACAGCTACTGTCTTCATTTGCATCATGGCCACATCTTTCCCTAGACAAGTTCTTGGACCTGCGTTAAATGATAAGAACTTATAAGATGGTTCATGTAGTGACGTTTCATTCTCAGTAATCCATCTCTCCGGTTTAAACTCGAATGCATCTTCTCCCCAAACCGACTTCATTCTCCCTAATGAATAGAGACAGAACAAAATCTTTGAGCCGGCATCGACTTTGTGTCCGCTTGGAAGAACATCGGTTTTAGTTGGAGACTTGTGTTGGAAGGGAACAGGTGGATAGAGTCTTAGGGCTTCACAAATTGCACCATGTAAATATACTAACTTCTTCAGCTCCTGAGGATTGAATGAATCATAATCATCTGTCTTGGTTATTGGAGATATATTTTTGTTGATTTCTTGAAGAATCTTGGTTATGGCTTCTTGGTTCTTACATAGAAGCCAAAAGAACCAAGTGAGTGCTGAGCCTGTTGTGTCTCTACCAGCTAACATGAAGCTCAAGATCGTGTCCCTAAGGAACGTGTCATCGTTAGGATTTAACAACTTGTACTTGGTCGTGTCCACGTTCAAGTATGACGTCAGCAAATCTTTAGGAGCATAAGAGTCAATATTATTATTATTATTATTATTAATAATCCCACAGCTTATCTCATCTCTTTTGGAAGATATGCATTTAAAGCAAGCACGATCTAGAATGCTGTGAGCTCTTTTCAGCTTCAACTCATCTCCAACCCCAATCAATCTTTGCATCTTCCACACCATCTCCGGCTTGACATGTCTATAGAAAATAGCTTCCTCTGCATCGTCTAAAGCTCTTGCAAACTCGATTTCTGGCATCTCAACGGAGAGACAACATGGATCATACCCGGTTGCTAAAACAAAAGTAGTGTCGAACGTGAATCTTTGAAAAACATCTTGCAAGTCCACAACGAGTTTCTCTTTAGCAACATGGTCAAGAAGTGGGACAAGCCCTTTCTCTAGCTTTCTCAAGCTTGTGGCTATTGAAAACCTTTGAAACTCTGGATTCATCATCATGCTTTGAGCTGATTTCCTCAGATCCTTCCACAACTCTGAATCTACGTTGAAAATCCCATCTCCCAAGACGTCGAATAGCTTCTTGAACTCGGTACCTTTAGGGTAGTTAGAGAAGTTTGAGCTCATGATGTGGTGGATATTAGCAGGATCAACCGTGACCAACATGTCGAGACCCCCCAAGAAGGGGCCTTTGAAAAAATAGTTTAAGTTCCCGTGCTCAAGAATCTCGGTTAAATAGTCGTAAACACGAGGGATCACTAGGACCAAACCGGGAAGCATACCAAGTAACGGCCAGTTTGTGAGAAAGGAGGGGTGTGGTTTCTTGCTAATCAAGAAAATTGTAAAGAGAAGGAAACAAAAGAAAGCAATTGAGATATCAAGTAAGCTCACCAAAGCCATTATGGAATTTTTTTAGAATGCAGATATTACAATAAAGGGGCGGCTTCATATAAAGCATATGAGTAGAAAGTAGAAAGTATAAAGCATCGTGTTTAATTTGTGTCCTTGATTGATTAAATGTCATTGTCTCATTAATCATAAATTCATAGGAGGGATCTTACCTTATCTTTAGGTAATTATGTACTATTTTGTTTGTTAGGTATTGTAGCTTCATGCATGTAAATCTTTCCAAAACCAATGGTCCAGTGCTTGAGACGTATTACTGTATTTAGTTAATTGCTTAAGTACGAGACAACTTCCATCTGCGTTTGTCTAACCAATAAGGAGCTTTGTATACTGTTAATTTTCTTTGGTGATTTAAAAAAATATGTACATAAATTATTTGTATGGGAGTTTTATATACATATATTTGAATATTTTTAGTTATTTTTAATTTAATTTATTTTATTTTTCTATAATTTTTTTTACTAAATTTGTATTAGAAATTTAGAATATTATATATTATTATTTATATTTTAAAAAATTACATACTACAGTTTATATATTAAAAGTTACTAACTGTTGACAATAGTTCATGTTTTAAGACAAACCCACAATATATATTAATAGTTTCTATCATATACAGTTGCTACTGCTGATTACATCTAATCATAACTTTTATTTTTACTCAACTTTAATACAACATGTCGAGAATCAAAGCCTTAAACCATTATACAAAATCCATGTTCAAAACAAAAGTCAGTTAGAAAAGTTTTAAACCGTTAGCACTGAAACATAAATTTTCAACTATTACAAGAAAATATGTTTTTCCAATACAATACGGGAACAAAAAGAAGTTAGTTAGCTTTAACGGAAGAAATTGTCTGTAATGTCAATATCGCCGCTTTAACAATTTTAGTTATTCGCTAAAGAAAAAAAAAATCAGGTGTCCATACAATTTTAGTAATAATTGATCTAAAAGGAACAATAGTGGAGCAGTGGAGCTGTTGGGACCGTGTTCGTGGTGGTGATTGATACTATTGATGTGTAGTGTACCGACTTTTGAGTTATTATCTACTTTGGCATATTCAAGTTGCATGGTCCATTATGGATAGTTTTTTGTGTCTTACATGTCTCCACGCCCCCATACATTTTCTTTTCTTCCTTTTCTTATACACTTTCTTTTCTCAAAACTTTAAATAAGTACAAATTAACATTATGAGAAAATAATGTTATATTAGCATATATTTTTTCTTTTTTGAAAAAGGGCTTTTTAGTGTTATATTAGCATAGTTTCAATGTGTCAATCATCGTATCTTATAAATTTACTTTAACGCTTATAACTAGATTTTGACCCGCGCAACCGCGCGGGTGTTTATTTTCATTTATAGTTAGTTATATAAACATTTTGTTTTCATTTGTAAATTGGTATATATTATAGTAATCACATATTTACGATATGTATAGTAAATGTTTTTCAAACATAATAATATTATATAATACATGTTTCAATCAAATAGATTGTCTCAAATTTTCTATAGTACATGTTTATCAAACATGTGTTTGTTTCTTCTTCTATATTTTATTGTTTATTAGATTAGTATTTTATTTTTAGATAAAGTAATATAAATAGAGCTTGATTAAATATTAGTATACTTTAATTTGCGAAGATAATATAAAATTCGAAGAAATGTTTGATAAAAACTAAACTTATCGCTTCATAAATTAATTTTATAAAGAATTTTATTAAAAAGAATTTTTTAAACAATTTATTTTTTAAACAATATAAATTTAAAAATTTACATCGAAATAAATGTATCTAATATATATAGCGTGTAAATTTTGTTAGGGTATATAAATATTCCACATTACGAATCTGTGATTTTTGTTAATATATTGTGGATGCATCTAACTATTATTGACATATTTCCTTATAAATAATAGAAGATTCCTAAACTTATATCTATTGACATATTTTGCGTGACTAAGTTGGAATGTATGAGGTAATTAACCAAAACCAAATTGTTAAACGTATCTTTATTATTATAGATATGATTTTTTCATAAGATATAATAATGATAAGATTATTAGAGAGTTAATGTAACATGACTTTCTAGTAATAGTCCATTTTTAAAATAATCACACATGAAATCAAATCATGACTTCTGTTTTAATATATAAGATTTTGAAGTTTTAAGGTTATCTTTAACTTTATTGGAAACTGTTCAACCAATAAATTTTTTTTGTTTTTTAAATAATTGGTTGAATGATTTCTTTAAAAATACTTTTGTAGAATAATGTAAAATTCTTAATTTTTAACAATGATCCAAAAAATCATATATTAAGAAATTGAGAGGGTAAAATTAATCAATAAATAAATATAATTTGATTATGTATACTATCCAACTTTATAATAATATTTATGTGGCTTATAATATTATTAGTATAAAATTTATAAATTTGTGTTTTTGTAAGAATTTTTAAAACATTTTATGTAACCTTACTAATTTATATATTTTGTTTTATTTCTAAATTTGATATATATATATATATATATATATATATAAAGTAAATTAAGTTGTACCTACATAATACATAAACAAAATTTTGGGATATTTTTAAAAGTATTTTACATAATTTTAATTTTTTTGTTTATAAATAAATAATGAATTAAAAATTTAATTATATTTTATGATAATTAAATTTTAATCAAATATTTTTTGAAACTATATCTTGAAAAGATTCTAAAAGATTTTTTAGAATATTCTTAAAACTATTTATTTGTATTTCAAATAAAAATTAAAGATATGAAAAGATATTATAATGGTGTTATGTAAAATTTTATAAAATTTTTAAAAGTTGTCCAAACTAAAAAAATCACACATGAATTGAGTCATGACTTCTCTTTTAATATAATAGATAATACATGTTTTAATCAAATAGATTGTCTCAAATTTTCTATATTATACATGTTTATCAAACATGTGTTTGTTTCTTCTTCTATATTTTATTGTTTGTTAGATTAGTATTTTATTTTTAGATAAAGTAATATAAATAGAGCTTGATTAAATATTAGTATACTTTAATTTGCGAAGATAATATAAAATTCGAAGAAATTTTTGATAAAAACTAAACTTATCGCTTCATAAATTAATATTATAAAGAATTTTATTAAAAAGAATTTTTTAAACAATTTATTTTTTTTAAACAATATAAATTTAAAAATTTACATCGAAATAAATGTATCTAATATATATAGCGTGTAAATTTTGTTAGGGTATATAAATATTCCATATTACGAATCTGTGATTTTTGTTAATATATTGTGGATGCATCTAACTATCATTGACATATTTCCTTATAAATAATAGAAGATTCCTAAACTTATATCTATTGACATATTTTGCGTGACTAAGTTGGAATGTATGAGGTAATTAACCAAAACCAAATTGTTAAACGTATCTTTATTATTATAGATATGATTTTTCATAAGATATAATAATGATAAGATTATTAGAGAGTTAATGTAACATGACTTTCTAGTAATAGTCCATTTTTTTAAAAATCACACATGAAGTCAAGTCATGACTTCTGTTTTAATATATAAGATTAATTGACTATTATAGGATAATTTCATTTATATATTATTCGAAATCCAGGTCTTCAGTACTATTCTTCGAGACAATAAGTTTTCCAAATCATTTTTCACCGAATCCCATTCTAGTTTTGCCAACATATCTTATTTATATCACTTTATTTTGGTCAACTGAGATATTAGTACATTTTACTTCGTGGACTTTAATCTCAACTATAAACTAAATTATAGATGAGTGAATTTGTTCATTTCTATATTGATAATTAAAGCCTCTCTTAGTTTTATGTGGGATTTCTAACATTTTCAGCTACATAATGTTAAAACTATATTTATATCCATACTTCATAAAAATCTATTGCTTTCAGAACATTTTCAATAAAAGAGAAATACGAATTCAATATCTAAACAAGAAATATAGAAAATAAGAGAAAGAAAATTTAAAAAAAAAAAATTGAGAAATTATGATGACAAATGTAAAATGTTTATGTATGAGTAGTTCAAAAATTTGTAAAGACATTTTAATTAACTAACTGAATTTCTTAAAAGAATGTAAGAATAATTAATTTAGTATGCACTTAAAACATTAGCATTGTTGATTAGATGTTAAGACTCTTGATTTACAGAAAATTTGATAAAAGTTAGATGCACCGCCGATCCAAAATAATCAAACTAAGATATGTCGATTTGACCTGGTATTGCTAGTTATTTTGGTTTTATTAGATGTTATTAATTGGTTTGCGATATTTTTATCATTATGTTAAGTTGCGTATATTGGTCTGCAACTTAACATACTGTGTAAAATATCACAGGAAATAAGATAACGATATTAGATACCAAGGAAATATTTGAATTACAAACAAAAAAATTGAATTCGAACGTGACATGAAACGGCACCATACCAGTTTAGATAAGTTAGTACATTCTTGGGATCTCCTTAATTATCTGCTTAATTACTAGCTAAGTGCGCTTTCTTCATTTCTTGATATTATCAACCAACTTCCCTTCAACTCCCACCTATATTTTGTCCACAATGATTGAATTTAGATTAAATGAACATTGTATTTTGTCTTCGACGCCTCATCTATTTTAAGAAAAAAATAATAATTGAAAAAACTGTGGATAGCCTTACTTTTATGCAATTTTAAATTGAAAGACAAAAAAGCTTAAAGAAATAACTGAAATTAATGTATCAAACCGAAATATTCATCTTAAAAACATTTGTGACCGAGCTGGTAAAAAATCTCCAAGGTTAATTTGTATACTTAAATGTATGAAATATGATTTAACAACTCAAAAGAAATACACAAATACGTAACATTACGAAATGATAAGCAGTAGATGACATAAGAACCGATAAGCATTGGCAAACGTACTTGTAATGATATCTAACATCAAATCTTAGTGACATGAGCTTTGAGACCATGTTGCATGCGGAGAAGAACAGAAGGAACTGGCTCAGTTTTGTGCCCTTTAACGACCTGAATCTCATAGTTTTGTATGATATTCACAGCCACTGTCTTCATTTGCAAAAACGTTAACTTCTTCCCCAAGCAAGTTCTTGGACCAGCGTTAAACGCCAAAAACTTATACGACGGTTCATGTTTCAGCCTCCCACTAGCTAAAATCCATCTCTCTGGTCTGAACTCTTCCGCGTCATCTCCCCAAACAGATTTCATCCTCCCCAATGCATAAGTTGAGATAACTATCTTCCAATTCTCATCGACTTTATGTCCACTGGGAAGCACGTCGGGCTTTGCTGGTGACTTGTGGTTAAATGGGACTGGTGAATATAGCCTTAGCGTCTCACACACGGCACCGTGTAGATACACGAGTTTGTCTAAATCCGCAGGATCAAACTTTGGCATCTTCTTGTTAATCTCTTGTCGGATCTTGATCATTGCTTCAGGGTTTCTTGAGAGGAGCCAGAAAAACCAAGTGAGAGCTGAGGCTGTTGTGTCTCGTCCCGCTATAAGAAAACCTAAAATAGTGTCTCTAAGGAACTTATCATTACTTGGTTTCAAGTGCTTATATTTTACCGTGTCTAAAGTCATGTAATATGTTAACACATCCTTGACCTCATGATAAGTCCCATGATTTTTTATCTCCTCCTTTTTAGCTGATATGATTTTCTCTAGCAGTTCATCAAAAACCTTGAGACCTCTTCTCAACCTCTTCTCTACTCCAACACCAACCTTATATTGAAGCTTCCACAAGAAAGCTGGCTTGACATGTCTAAAGAAAATCCCATCTGAAACTCCATCCACAGCGTCACCAAAATCAACCTTAGGCATTTCAATAGAGAGGCATTTTAGGTCATACCCGGTCATCAAAATGGTTGACGTGTCAAACAAGAATCTTTGGAATACATCTTGCAAGTCGACAAGGATGTTTTTCTCAACAGCGTTTTCAAGGATAGGAACAAGCCCTTGATTTATTTTGCTTACGCTTGTACTCACCCAAAGCCTTTGAAAATCTTGACGGCTAAAGATGGCATGAGACGAGTTTCTCATGTCCTCCCACATGCCCGAGTCAATGTTGAATATGGCATCTCCGATGGCTTCAAATATCTTTTTAAACTCCTTCCCTTTAGGGTAGTTAGAGAAATTTGAACTTAGAATGTAGTGGATATTCACCGGATCAACAGTGAGTAATATGTCAGTTCCACTTAGCCATGGTCCTTTGAAGCAAAACGTCATGCCGGTGGCATCAAGGAGCTCGGTGATCCAGTCGTAGATACGATGGACTTGGAGGAGCAGACCCGGAAGCATCCCAAGAACCGGCCAGTTCGTGGGTAAAGGCTTGTGGGTTTGCTTGTAAAGCAAGAGACAACGGAAGAAAAGGAAGAAAATGAAGGCTATGAAGATATCAATATAGCCTATGATCATCTCCATTATAGACTTGTCACAAAATGATTTTTTGTTTTTGTTTTTGAATGAGTAAACCATACAAGAACTTGCTTGCTATTTATAGTATGAAAGAAATTAGTTATATACAGATGTAATTAAAATTGTGGTTGCGTTGGTATGTGTGACAACAAGACTAAATGCGCAAAAGGATGCAAAACCCTCCACTATAGAGTATAGACGTGCCACAAAAGAGTTTCACTCTGGGGTCAACAAACAAAATGGTTATCTTATGAATGAGTAATTATAACTCATACAAGAACTTGCAAACATGCAAGATATTAATTATATACACATGTATTTTAATTTTGCGGTTGCATTGGTAAGAGTAACAACATTAATTTGCATTGGGAACGATCGTTATCAGAGCACAAAGACTAAATGCACAAAAAGATGCAAAACCCTTCAACCTAGAGGCTTGTGGGGGAAACACAATTAGTTAAACACATTTTAGTAAATTAAACATGATTAAGTGATGTCCACTGATTTGCAGAGTTTGATTCCAATTGAATAATATAAATGGTTTAGTTTTAAATTTTCAGGATTAGGAGTCTAATGAAGAAAAGTCTGGGGGATTGAGTGTAAATTTCAATAGTATAGATTTTTTTTTTTTAATACTGAATAATTATGCTATTAAAAATTATGAGAAATATTACAGACGATTCTACAGCCGACCATTCTTTTACCTATCTTATGAAAGCCGATTTCGTCTGATGCAGATCTCTTGTAATCATTTTTTCCTTTAGCTCGCATAATTTCACTTTTTCTATGACTCAAAACCCAGATCTATTGATATAGAAGCATTAAAGAACCTTTAATCAAAAGGGGGCTTCCACATAGAAATTGTTATTTAACCTATTATTTATTTATATCTACACAAAGGCTGATATAGTTCATGATAAAAATTATGTGGTAAAAATACGAGATAATTGACTGGTATTGATGTATAAGTTACAATATATATTTAAGAAAAATATTTTTTTTTACATCAACATAGAAAAGTATTATTGATTTAGATAATAATAAGATTTATAATAAATTTGATAAAATATAGAAGAAAATTTAAATAGTGTTGATTTAGATAATAATAACATTTATAATAAATTTGATAAAATATATAAGAAAAATAAAAATATATTAAATTAAAATTATGAAATATATTTGAACATATATTTTTATATATATATATATATAACTTATATAATGACTTTGCACTAAGATATGAAAAATATTTTAAAAATAATTGATTAGTATTTTTTTTATTGAATAACTTATTCTACAGATTAACTAAACATAATGGTATAATAATAATAATAATGATAATAATAATAGTATATTTATGAAAATTTTAATGAAATGCACCTATATAAATAAATAATTTTATGTTATAACAAAAGTCACCAAAAAGAACTAATAATTAAAATTATTGAAAAGTTGGTTAAATAATTACATAGATAAATGTAGGCAATTATGAAATGAATTTAGAAAAAAAATAATTTGTCAAATATAGTAAAAAGTAGGTACGTGGGTCTTTATAGATGAAAAAAAGAGTCTAAATCAAATCCTAATACATGGCATTTTTTTTGATGTTGGATTACTACTTGATTTATCAATTTTATCAAAGGGATAACTCAAAATTCTAATTCAAAGATATACATGATTTTAAAACCATATAAGTAAAAAGTATCATTCAATAATAAAACAAATATATATACAGATTAAACTATATACCATATAAGATTACATAAATATTTTAATTTCAAAATCCTCAATAAATTTTCAAGAACATTTATAAATTATTAAATTATTAAATTTTTTCACATTGAAAATTTTTGTTATCAATATTTAAATATCTTAGTTCTTTTTCTAATTTTATATTTTAAAAAGATATTAACAATCGATAATATGGTTATTTTTGGTATATACCATACAAACCGAATGGATGTGATTTTATAAAAACCATAGGATTTGGATATGGTTTGATTTATAACCGATTAAAGTGAAACATGTAAATATGTATATATTTATAACGACGCATGAATATCTATTTGTTATATGAGTTGAACTATAATTATAATTTGTAAATAGCTAACAATTTATTACAACTTAGACTTCTTATTTTGATCTTTTGCTTTTTTTAACAATAACTAAACTGAAGTAAAGATTATAAATTTGATGGACAACAATTAGTTGAAATTCTTTACAACTTTTTTTTTATCTTTAAACAAACAGAATTGTGTTCAATCGAAGACATATTGGTTTGATGAACACTAAATATGAACGAATATAAAAACTTTTCTTTCATGCTTCTGTTTTGTTTTTTATTTTTATTTTCAAAATTTAGTGTTTTGATATTAATTCTAGATTTGATCATTTTATTAGATGATAGAAGCTTTTTTTGTTTTTTATTCTTTTATTTAAATATATAATATTTTTTAATAAATGACTCTGTGACAATATGACTCTAAATATGATCATATATATAATATGATCTCAAACTAAATAATCATGGTTTTTGGTATAAAATTGAATAAACTGAAAACCCATGGTATATAAACCAAATCAAACTGAAGTACATATAGATTTAGAATAGTAGTTATATTTTAATAATCGAAATACTAAAAAATCGAGCCGAACCGAAACCCGATATCCGGATTGAACACCTCTAATCCGAATGAAACCGAACTATTGTTTCATTTTTCAAAACATAATAAAAATAATAGTTTCATCCCGCGCAAGACGCGGGTCTTATCCTAGTTCAAAGTATAACACATTCTAATTCAAACAATAACTCAAAATTCTAAAATTAAATCATGATGGGTGACATTTTTTTAAGTATCCCTCTAACTCAAAACTTAATCAATGGTAACTCAGTCACCAATCAAAGCCGAAAGACATTCCTTAATGGGCTTTTCATTTTCATAAATGAATTGGGCCGACCAAAAAAAACAACAACATAACCCTCGTAGAGATGCCTGCCTCTCTTGCAAAACCTGTATCTCTAAAGAACATGTGTTCCATGTTAAGTTCCACCGCCGCCGGGAAAAATCACAAACTTTTTCTCCGACCCACTTCCCTAATCCAAATGGGTTCCCATCTCCACCTTTCCCTCCCAAACTCTCCCAGTCCCTCAATTTCATGACTCATCTGTGTTTGATATGCTGAATGAAGCTATGGAAGTTGCTCGACGAGGAAACCGAGTGACCGAGGAGAGAAACATACAAGTTTTGATCGGTCAAATGCGTATTGTGAAGGTAAAACCGAAATCATTTGCACCTAAATTTCCAATCTTCTGTGTACTTATCTGAGATTGGTTTGAAACCTCAGGGCGAACTTGAAGAAAGTCTAAAGATTTTTCAACAGATGGTGAATGATAACCCTTGAGATTTTAGACCTTATCTTTGCCAGGTAATTTTATTCATGTGGAAAATGAATATTCATTGACTCACACTAAAGTGCTTTTAATTGGTTTTCCAGGGAATAGTGTATAGCATAATGGATAAAAAAGAGGAAGCAGATCAACAGTTTGAGATCTATTGGAGTCTTGTACCTGAAGAATTCCCACAAAAGGGGTTTCTTGATGATGTTGCATTGGCTGCTCAAGCCAAATCCCGGGAACGACTCCAAAACACATTCAAATCTAATTTACTCATGGGAAATAGATACTGGTGAGTAATTTTTATCTTGCTCAATGCTTCTGTGTAACACATTCTCTTTTTGAAGTTTAAAAGAAGGAGCTTTGTGTTTATTTAGTCTTCTGTATTTATAGGATGTTATCAAGTTTAAAAGAAGGATTACTGCCACAGAAGATGAGAAAGATAATGCAATGGTGCCATGATGGTATCCACTAACTCTTTACCCTTTTTATTATAAAGATCTCCTAGTTACAGAGGACATTTCTCACTATAACTCTTTTACCTTCATCTCAGAGCCTATCAATGAGGGAAATCATCCTGTAACACATTCTCTTAGTTATGAAGATTAAAAGAAGGAGCTTTGTTAGAAAGATTACTGCCACAAAAGATGAGGAAGAAGATAATGCAATGGGCTAATGAAGTCATGGCTTTGCTTATCCGGGTATGTTATCCAATAACTCTTTTTACCCTTTTTTTTTTTGGTCAAACATAACTCTTTTTACCCTTTATGATGAATATTTCTTTTTTTTTTACTAAAAAAATAAAGAACTCAGAACATATCTCACTATATGCTTAAGACATTTTTTTGTATTGTAATTTGACACTTACACCAACTTTCAAAGATTTTAAAACTTAAATATTTTAAAACTAAAAAGCATTAAGGTCTTCATCACACACAGTACTTTCATTTTGAAAAAGTTCTGATTTTAAAATTTCACTATGTTTGAAAACAAACCAAACATTTTTACTTTTTACCCTTTATGTTTTAAACAGATAGGACATTTTTCTTTGACTAAAAAAATAAAGAACGTATGACATTTTCACTATATGCTTAAGACATTTTTTTGTATTGTAATTTGACACTTGCACCAACTTTCAAAGATTTTAAACTTAAATATTTTAAAACTAAATCTTAAATATTTTAAAACTAGCGTCTAAATATTTGAAAACTAAATTCTAAAATTTTCCATAAATTAAGGTCTTCATCACACATTTTCCAGATCACTTGCAATCTTTAATCTTAAGTTTTTGTTCAGAACTAATAAATCTAGACATATTGATAATCAGAGGAACACATAAGAAGAAGCTCTCTCAGATTCTCATCAATTTCCATTTTCCACACCTAAAGACTATCTAGGATCTAAGCTTCGAGTGAAGAATTAGCAACAAATTGTATCAAAAATCGCACCGTGTCCTCATTTCAAAAACATAAACAGCTAAGTGATAAAATTCATTTTAAACATAGGCCAGTCAGTACCAAAAGAAGAGCCCTGATTCTCACTGACTTGTTTCTGCAAAGCTGCAACCTTTGTCTTGAGCTCTACTATTTCTATTTCCTGGCCATTGATTGAT